TCTCATTAGATTTTGAGGGAAATATCGATAATAGCTCTTCTTAAGATGTACAATTTTAGTTAATGCAATTCTCATTAGTGTTAGAGACATCTGCCTTAAAGACATCTTCGATCTTTCCATCAACCCATGGACAATAATATTTCAGAAAAACTTAAAGTACAATATTAAAAGATAAAGTTAGACAACATTTCATAATCTATCTCAGTTTAACAAGCAATAGATATATTCTGTTTATTTTAATATATGCTGTTTGTAAAGTTTTTATGCTAGAAACACACTAATAATGGTTCAATAATTATTCAACCTGAACCTAGCATGCATGACATGGTAGATATGACATATGATTACTAATAATCAAACTGGATTAGAATGAAAAGCTAGTCAAGTTCTTAAACTCAGTTCCAGGGCAGCGATTTATTCTGAGAGCTTAGAAACAAACTTCTTTATTCCTGTGGTTACAAAACACATTAAAAATAACAAATATATAGAAAAATATTTATCTAATGAATTTTAAAACATTGATTGATACAGATAGAAAGTAACCTGAATAAAAATATGTGAACTAAACTGATGCCTTCGAATCCTATCAATGAGCTCATCGATATGTTTAGGAACTTAATAATAATCGTATCTAATCAATCTCATATGATATGTATAAACATATTGTTAATGGTACCACGAAAGGGAGAAGGAACTAGATTGGCAAGTGGCCCATGTAGTGATTTTGGCTACCTTGCGTTTAAGGCCGTGTATCGACCATAGTGAGAGAGTCAAGCTTCGTGTCTCGATGCTGTCGAGAAATAAATATTAATTAACCAAGATGTGAATCGAACCGAAAAAGTTTCGAAGCTCTTTGGAGTTGAGCATGTTCGGCCAAAGAGTCTTTTTAGTAGGATGCTAAGTGGAAGTTGTCTGTTGTGGGCGCCGTAAATATTTTTCAATTGACCCAAAACATTTGTGAAATGTAAATATTTAATATTCGTTAAACCAAGTCACCGATAGTTTTTCTCAGAATTTAATTATGCTCGATGTTTATTCTTTAGATAGAGAAGGCTCAGTAAGAAAAAGTAGGCACCAATAGTGGATTCCACGAACAACTAAAAGGTATGAAAGTGACGTTAAAGAAAAGGACTTTCAGGGTTCATATAGAGAAAGAGGAACCTCATGAGAAATGCATGTCTTACCTGAAAGAAAAATATAGATATAAATTCGGAGAGAGAAAATTCCCAGTTACTGGGCTGTTGAAGTAAGCGAACCGTCTCTCTCACTATAAGTAATTTCTTGCAGAGGTTGGATGTTGGAAGGGAGCAGATACAGACCATGACAGAAACTATAATTTTAGACTCCCATCACCACATACATGAATCTTTCCATTCGTTTATTCGATTCTGTTAAAATGGTCCCACATCATCCTCTTTTGTTTTGGTTTTAATAATATCCCTTGGGCTAAAAAGTATATTGTGTGATTTAGCAACTCAAGGAACTTGAGCAGCTATACAATCTTATTGTAGTTTTTTCTTCCAAAAGTTCCCATTTTGTTACCTTATTTTACAATCGAGAGACCGAACTAAATTTGCTCAATATTTTCGGTTTTATAAATCCTTTTTTGTCCTGTACACCTGTTAACATATTTAACAATGAAGGAATTAATGCTGAGATCCACTTACCTATATTGTAAATCTGACCTCTTCACATTCATCTCCTGCTCGTTAAGAGAAAAAATTAATTAGTAAGTAAGTTAATGAACCTTGAGGAACCGTCCCTTTCGAATTGAGAACCTTTTTAGATTGGCCTCTCTTGTCTCTTCGGGTTTTCCCTTTTAATACATAGGCTCCTTCCAAAGGGTCTTCTTCCTTTGCCTTTCTTTAGAGACCCATGTTTTTTAAATATTCCCAGGTACCAGGTATCTCATATTTTATCGTTAACGTTACATCATTTAAAATTAAAATTAACTTGAGTTCATGTTATTGGAAATCTTCATTCGCGTATAAGTACGATTATATTATAATAATATATATATATATATATATATATATTATATATATATATATATATATATATATATATATATATATATATATATATATATACTCGCGAAGTACTTATACGCGATTGAAGATTTGTTACTGAAGTGAATATATTCCTATTATTAGATAGGAATGTTATTCAGTATGCTTGTATAAATATAAATGTTATAGAGCATGCGTAATTATACTGCACTATTTTAGATATGTGTTCAGTAACACAAAATAAACAAAAAAGTTCATATTGACATTTATCTCAAACTCATTTATTGAACAGATATCAAAGGTTAAAGGTTTATTATTTAATTACTACATTAAGACTGACTGTACAAAGTTTAACATGTTTAATACTAAATAACAGGTATTAATTACCTCATAAACAAATGAACGATAAGCAATGGCAGTAGTTGCTCATCTGTTTCTCTATTTCTGTGTGTTTTAGTGTGAGTGAATATGTAACACAGTTCAATTTCTGATTATCACGGGAGACACCATAAATTTGTTCAATTTTGCAGAACAAACAGACATGCTTTCAACTTATGGCGAGGAGGTACATAGAAACGGTGCTGCTGCCGTTCGTAGATATCGTGAAAAATTTCTATTGTCTATTCGGCGGCAGTTGGCACGCAAAAAGAGCTAAGAAATCGGATCGTGGAAGCCGCTGAAACTATCAAATTCTATCAAGTTATAACTATCACCATCTGATGCTATACAAAGATCCAGAGAAGCATGGATTTGTCGTGCTGAATGTTGCATTCAACAAAACGGAGGTCTCTTTGACTCTAAATGTTGTAATAATAATAAATAAATAGTAATGATAAATCTTTAACCTTTGATATCTGTTTAATAAATGAGTTTGAGATATATGTTAATATGAACTTTTTTGTTTATTTTGTTTTAGTGAACACATACCTAAAACAGTGCCGAGCAATTACGAAACACCCTGTATATTAAGCATATATACAATGTCAGACAAGATTTTCTAGGTTTAACACGTTTTTGGAACCCATTTGTTCGAAAACCAATTAAAATAAAAGATGTTCGTTGTTTCCGTTTTCAGTTTCTAAAAATTCTCTGTCTTCTCCAATTTATTAAAACGTTTGTAAAAAAAAAACTTTAAGGTAAGTCCTAAAGTTGTTGTGAATGCAATAAATATTATGTTTTGCAAATCCAAGTACACATAAATTATATGTATATGAAGATAACTTAAAAGAAAAATCGGTTTTTGTTTTGGTATTTAAAGAAGTACTATCCTGAAAAATGTTTAAATGTCACCGTAAAGTGATTTATTTTGTTGTACGTTAATGATATTTATAGAGTCTTAAAAAATTTGTAAAATTTTGTTATCAAATACAATATTGATGACTGTACTGTATTATACACTATTATTGAATCATTGTTACTGCAGTATAAATCTAATGTCCTTGAGCCCAAGCATTATTTAGCTCGAAAATAAAGCACCGTAATTATCTCCCAGCGTTGTTATTACGAATATACGATTAATTATATTTATTTATGTATTGAAATGAAATTCATGCTCTGATGATTTCGAATTCCAATAATAGGGACTGACATTTGTTTACCATCACCTCCTACAGGACAATGAATTTTGGGTCCATAAGGTCACGTGGGCAGGGGTGGTTCACCCTTACTGTGGCCAGCTGATAACGATTTTCCACCCATTTCATGCTCATATTTCCTCCTCTTTCTGCCGCTAATGTATTTTAATTTTTCTTTCATGTAAAATATGATATTATATATATATATATATATATATATATATTTATTATAATTATATATATATATATATATATATATATATATATATATATATATATATATATATATATATATATATATTATAATTTTACTTTTAAAACTGATTTACCTTCGAAATACTTTGCTCTGAATAATAATATAGAAAATTAAAATGAACGAAACAAAAACGTGTATGTAATATTGTCTCTTAATCATACCTACATCTTTCCCCAAGATGTAGTTCAACAACATTGAAATTCTTGTATCAAATTAAAATAAGATACTTGAGTTTTTTTCTGGACAAAAGACTGACATGGGGGACTCAAATTAGAGAAATACATATGGAGTTCAACAAACAATACGGTCTTTTATCCAGATTACTCGACAAACGTTCTAAATTATCTTTAACTAAAGTACAACTTTATACAGGGCTTACGGTATAGAACTATGGGATTCTACTAAAACCTCAAACATAAAAATCATTCACTCTTTTCAATCCAAAGTGTTGCGAGATTTAGTAGCTTCGTTCATTATCACAAATGAAATAATACAAAAAAACATTCCATCAATTTTAGACACTGCTAAAGAGAATTACAACAACTTTCACCAAATACAACATGATTCCTCTGACAGAAATTCTTGAACCACGAGACTGTTTCCAAGAGATCTGCGGATATGGTTTATATCCTGTGATGGGACGATAGGAAACAAAATTTGCTCGTCGCAAAGCGCAAAGGTAAATTTAATTATCTGTCAGAATTTGATTAATCAAAAACAGGCCTTAAAAGCATTTTTTTATTTATTTTTTTCATAGCTCCTTTTTTATTTATTTTGTCTTTAATACAATACTTGGATTTCCATTGTCTTCATAATAGTCCTTTTACTGCTAAAAAATATTGTAAGGTGTATTTTGATTTTGATTTTTTTTCTACATCTGTAATATAATCGGTGATGGGGCTCACCTTAGGCTTGAGTTACTTTATCCTCTAGAGCTTACAACTAAATTAATAAAACACCCATCTTATGTGAGTTGTTAACGTTTTGGAATTTTGGCTGGTAATAAGTTGTTGAAAAGAGGGTTTACCAATTGTTGAGACTTATCATAAATGATTTTATTCGTTTTGCGAGAAATTCTTGTACTGTTTATAAATTTTGTGATGCTTGTATATCCAAAGTATTTATGTATTGAATGTAATAATAATCTTCTTTTATTTACAGATTTGACGAGAGTCAGCGAGGAAGGATTGGAGGTAATATTTACATATTTGTATAATTAAGTTTATATGTATTTTATTTTTAATGCATTTATTGTATAAATAGATGTATATATAGATAGTAACTTTATTTGTTTAAGATAAGTCCTTGTACAAATAATACAATCAATGGTGACTAATACTAATACTGGCTCATCTAGTAAAATATAAAATGTATAACAAAAAGAAAACTAGAAAAATTAAATATTTTCTTTTCTAACTATAAGAATTTAAATTGTTTGTTATAAAAACTGGCTTATATAATAATATTTTATTTTGTTTATTTATATTGTTAATATGGGAGAATCTTCTTGTATGTTTCGCTGGTCACAACCGGAAGTAAATCATTGCCTCAAATATGCTTTCATATATACATTAAACTTTGCTATGTGTAGTAGGATGTGGTATAAGCTATTGGAGATAAGTTGGTTACAGCTATTGTAGAGTTCATTAGCCTTGAGTGATAAAGATTTATGTTCTATATGAAGTATGATGTTTTCCGTATGAATATATGAACAAGTTGCATGTTAAAATTTGATATTAATCTCTAGTATTTTTACATGTTGGAGTTTAAAGTTCTACTGATATTCAGAGATAGGCTATGGTTTTTTACTTTACTTAATTTATAGGCGTTCCATCTAAGGGTTGCCTCGCATAGTCAGCGCAGAGCTCCACGTACTTCTATCCCGCCAATCATCTTCCTCCAAACCTCGATCTGCCATTTCCTCCTGGATCATCTCCATCCACCTGCATCTGGGCCGTCCACGTCCTCTCTTCCCTGGCGAAACTCAATCCAAGACTTCTTCTCTCATGTCCATACCATCTTAGGCAGTGTTCCTCGATCTTTCCACTAACCGCTGTATCCACATCCATTCTCCGTCGAACTACCTCATTCTTAATTTTATCCAGTCTGATAAGACGGAGGCACCTTCTGCAGTAATCCATCTCGACCGCCTGCACCTTTGAGTACATATGGGAGCTCATGGTCCATGTTTCTGAGGCATATGTAAGAATAACTTCCACTATTGCATTGAATATCCTACGCTTGTTCTCGGTGGAAAGCAGTTCTAGAGAACTGGATATAGGATTCGGGTAGCCTTACGGTCTTGCTCCACCTTCCTCCTGACGTCATGCTCTGAAGACCCCGTAGCGTCGAGATAAGAGCCCAGGTACTTGAAAATATTATGTTTTTTGCAGGACTCCTTCGCCACTAGAAGTGCTCCAGTATCCGTATTGGCTATGGCTATGTATTCGGTCTTCTCGAAGTTGATCTTTAATCCAGCCGTTTCGTAAATGGTCTTCAGCTGAAACACCATTACTTCGAGATAGACCTTCCTTCTTGCAAGCACGACCTGGTCGTCAGCGAAAAACAAGGACAGCAATTGCTCGTCCTCAATAAATGGCCCAACGTCCCCGCATTGCTCGTACCACGGCTTTACTGACTCGTGCAAATTTATCTTAAATGGAGTTAGTGACATGCCGCATTCTTGCTTCAACCTCTTGGTGCCATGAAAAGGTTCAGAAAGGCGGTTTCCGCATCTTTTCTGGTACTAGAGTTTTTAATTGTTTGTAATATGTAATTTAATTGTTCAGTTTAATTCGCATATTCCAAGACAAACTTTTGAAGTCCTGTGTATAACTGATAGGTGCGACCAATCATTTTCCTATTGATAACCAATTGTATTTCTCATCTCCTTTAAATGAATCAAGATCTAGTAGTGAGCACTTTTTCGCTAACCTCACGTCAGTCACAAGGGTCAATTTCGCCCAGTATGAGAGTGAAAAATAAATATATTATTGTAAAAAAAGTAACAATTACAGTTCGAAAAGGCACGTTCAAGCCTCCTACAAACAGACCGCGATATGTCCCAACGATACGATTCCCTTTGCCGGTATCGCTGCGGATTATGGCGCTCTCTGTGACGGCTATAATGCAATAAATAATAATACAACTATATCACAATATGACCTCCGAAAGGAATATCGCCAAGACATATCGTACTCTTTGTGAAGGGGCCTTTAAAGTTCGATTTATAATAAATATGTGAACTGAGTCTTCCTCATTTAGATGTCCTTTGAAGATTAAGAAAAGTAGTCTATATGAATGGGAGTTCCATTTAATATTGTCAATAAATTCCAAGATATGGAAGCAGATATTGAAAATGGCTTCTCCAAAACCACAAAAGACATCTGCAATCTTTCCATTCATTTATTATAATTAACAGATAAAGACAGAAAACATATCGTTATCTATCTCACTTAAACGAGCAAACACATACGAAGTTATGTTTTATTATAAACTATTTTATTTTATTTATTAAAACAGTTGCACTAATTGTAATTCATCGTGGAATATAAATATAACATGAACATTGGAACCAAATGTTAAAACTGGATTAATATGCAAAACTGAGCCTAGTTCCATAAAAATTCCATCCAAGGAATCCATCATCGATGGGCAACAATTTGTGTTCCATTCAGGAATGATGTACTGGACTCCAGTGGAATGTTATCATTCCTGGAAGGTTACAGAACAAACAGAACACATGAAAAATAAAAAATGCATAAAGAAATATTTTCCTACTGAATTGTTGAGTTTCAAAACAAAAATAAATATAGATAGAAAGTATACTGAATATAAACACGTAAATTAAATTGAGAATTGTTATTTCACAGAGGTTGTAATGAGATTATAACCTGCGGATCCATCGGTGATTTAATCAATAAATATAGGTACGCCCTGAATTCCATTTATTGATCTATCGATAAGCTTATGAATGGTCTGATGAATTTTGGATGTCCATCAGTGAGCTCAGAGCTGAGTTCTTGCCCGCTCCACATCTCTATTGAAGAGGGCCATATCATCGACCATGATGTGGCTCTCATTACATTTATTCATTGTGGCATTAACAATTCACTTAATGTACAATCGGTTTGTCCCCATGCGTTATCTCGGAAACAGTACATTTTAGGATTTTAAAACATAGGGCTCAGCATAAAACCTATGTTATATGTCCTAAGAACTATACTGGATCATGATGTCCGCGTCAAAATATTAAAAAAGCAATTTATTCTTTCTAATAGATACGTAATGCCGGTTCTGGATAGATAATATTGGCGGAGCATTTTTTTACCTAAGACCCTAGACTTACCCTTAACAACTACGTGCCCGACATAGCCTTAACCACGTGACCAATATAACCTTAACCATCTTAATTAATCTTAATTCATAATCAACATTTATCCTTAATCAATCGGTCGACTTTTGAAACCTAATTCTTTCATTGGCTATTATTATAATTTTAGTAAGGATTTGATGTTTAAAATTATGTTTCGTCACTTCTCCATGAATTTTCCCCTTCTGTATATTACGGTATTATATGCAATGCAGCTACAATTTATGCATGCATAGCATCAACCTACTTTTATTGTATGAGTTCAAGTTATACAACTACATATAACTAACTACCTGTCAACTTTGCAGTAGTAGTAGTAGTTAGTATATGAAGGTTTTTAAAAATGACTTGATGTTTGTCGCTGGAGGTGGGAGGTGGCTGGAAGACTGGAAGGCTCCGCCCGGGTAACGAGGGGTGTCGATCCGGATCCTTTGATTTTCCGGCTGTCCGGCCCTCAAAGGGTTTGCTACGTATTTAGCCCACACCTTGCCGAGCAGCTGTAGTCAGGTCATGGGATCTAAATTATTATCATTATTTTTAAATAATGTTACACCTAACGAGTGCCTTAATTTTATTTTTTAAATTTTTGAATTCTACAAAAATAATTGGAATTGACACCGAAGTGACGGTTCTTCATGGGATGCTCATCAAAACTCTACATAACACCCACCATTTAGTTTCAAAATGGCGATTGGCAATGTCGAGTTCCGAGGATTTTTATAATGTGATTTACGACTTTAATCCCAAATTTCTTAGTCAAACTGCATTGTAACCATGTTTAAACCGGTCCTGGAATATCTATAAAAGTCAGTGGATCTGTATTAAATAATGAAATAAGTAAGATGATATGTACAACATGAAGTGAAACTACCCATTGGTAGCACTCAAATTATATTTCTATATTAGAAGGTCCCGAGGCTATCTTCTTTTCAGACGCCTCGGAGGACTATCAGGTATAGAAGAGGAAATGCAAGGTAGCAAACAAGAGGGTTCGGATGCACCAGAAGTTTATTATGGATTTTATAAATAATAGGTATCAGATAATAGGTACCTGGATTGGGCCAAATCGGAAACATATGGTACATTAAGGTAAAATGAATGATTTTATATGTGACGAAGTAGGGGCCTTGAGGATTTTACGAAGGATTTTGGATTGTAGGGGTTGGATAAGAGAGGTTTTGTAGAGCCCCGAAGCTCGAGTCCAAATCTGCCTTATTATAGTAATATATATATATATATAAGAGTCTTTTCACCGCGAGTTGCCCGGCAACCAGATATATGAAGTTTTGAGAGAAAAAAATAAGTACGAGTTGGTGTCCCGGTGCTGGAGGGGATTTTACATTCTCCGGCCTCACCCTCCGGCCTGGGAAAATCCCGTATAGCCTAAATGGCGAGGTAGGGAAGAACAAAAAAATAAAATAAAAGCAAGTACTGCCGAAGTCCAAAACGTTGAGCGGTTTCTAGTCGTTTCAGTCTGGTATGGGGGTTTGTGTTTTTATTTAGAATCATTTTTTCACTTTCCTCCAACTTTGAGCGGAATAAAACGAGCCATTTTTGTCATAAAGGTGTATAATAATACATTTGAGCATCCGCAGGCGAAAATAGTTGGTAGCATTTGATGAAATTGATATGGGGCCATCTAGGTAACAATCACTCAAAATTTCATAAATATCATATTAACATAAATACTTGTTATGTTCGTCACATGAATTCTATTCCAGACAGACAAATACGGAACCAAGTTTTTTCTTCGATGTATAAAATAAACTAGTGTTCCCCAGTGGTCGAAATTCGACCATAATCATTAAAATTTAAGGAAAA